GAAACTTCCTGAACTCGAAGGGAATTCCTGGCTCCTTCCTTTTTTCTCTCCTCTTCCTTCGGAACAGAAGGATCGGCGACGTGATTCACCAACATCTGGCCACCTCCTTCCTTCGATTCCTTTTATTTAACACATCCTTCGTGGAACACAATCGGATCGATGATAATTCAACGTTTATCGAATCGAATAACAGGAGCGAGAACGGCATAAAAACAAAGGTACACACAGGAGCTGGAGAGGCTGGGAGGTATCCACCTCCTCCTCCCCCTCCTCTTTCTTCCCCTTCCCCTCCTCCATTTGCGCGTTTATATTCGCACGGCGTCGTTTCTTGCATTTGCCTCCGTCAATATTGAACGAATCAATGTTTACTCTGTGTTTATCAGTTACGTCGACCGAATTGATACGTCCCAAAGCATCGCCACGATCAAATTGAGAATTCCGTCGATAAGTTGGCTCGCGTCGCCTCCAATCCCTCTGTTTACCGTTTTCTTCGACCGTTTCTTCGTTTTCGATCGAAGAGAGAGAGAGAGAGAGAGAGGAAGAGAGGGGGAAGGGAGACCTTTTTCCATCCCGTCGAATTCGATCAAAGCTCGACAACAAAGGATATCAGGACAATTTAACGCGTATTTCCAGATTCGAAACTTTTACCTCGCGTTCACCGTATATATATATATATTCATCCAGTCTCCAGTCTTTCCTTCGAATTTATTCGTCTACGAAAAGATCTGGAGATTGATGGAAATATTCTCGCGAACGAGAAGGATCGCATTTTTTTGATATCGGTCTGGATTTGGAAAAGTAGCTTTATTGTTCGAATAACGATTTCACGGAGCGATTTTTCGTCGAATTTGGAAGTTTAATTTCATTTTTTGCAAGATGGAAAGAAAGGCAGCGTGATAAAAGCAGCGTGACGAAGTTTAGACGAGGATGTCTTTTTGCAAGCTCGGAAAATTCGAACATTCCGTATCCGAGGCGCGAGAAATTTCACGAGGTCGATAAAATTATCATTTAACCGATGAAGATCGGTTAAATTATCGATTCCCCAACTTGGCTACATTTTTTGATATTTTTTGATATATTTTTATATATTTTTTTGATATATTTTTGATATATTTTTTGATACATAAGCGGAAAGGGGCCGACCGATTCTCATTCGTTTATCCCGCCTCATCCTTCATCGTCCGACCAGCCAACGTTCCATTTTTTCTCTTCTGGCAAGGGATCTTTGCGGGAGGATTTATTTCTAGGGGGCTGGGGGGAGAGATACCGCAAAAAGGAGAGGTTTAACGAACCTTTACGGGCCAACAACTGCTAATATCCCTCCTCCACCCCCTCTGATTATTATTCCGAGATACGAAAGTTTCGACACCCTTTGGCCGCGAATTCGATTTCGCAGGGCGACGAGTTGGCTTGGAAAGCGTCATAAATCTGAAAGAATTTGGCGAGACGTTTCGTCTATTTTTTCGGATAAATATTATATCCGTATGGTAAAAGGGGGATTTGATTTCGTCCCGTATCGCGATTCAAAATATTGACGTTTGCAACCGTGAACAACCGATTGACAATTATGCAAATAACAATAACCGTTATGTACATTTTATCGCTCGTTCATTTATTCTCCCGTTTCGTAAACGCATTATGGCGTTTGATTTAAAGGAAACACGCGAAAAATTTCGCACTTTAATCGCACGAGCCATCGACTCGATCTTACGCGAATCTTTTTTTAAGAGGCACAGTAGTAGTTTTTCCTTCTCTCTTCCACACTTTTTCCGCACATTAGTCCAATAATCCAAGGGGGATGACGATCGCAATACCCAGTACGATGCGTTCTCGAAAGTTACAACGAGGTCGGTGTTTTGGCGGCGGTTCGACGCGAGATAAGCGAGATACGCTGTGAATCACGATGATAAAACGGCGCCAGATAACCCGGGAACCGGGCGGAACGGGCGGGATCCAGAGGCGGCTAATTAGTAGGCGGACGAAGATCAAATCTGACGAGAGTGGACGAGAGTATTCTTGCAGGCTTTATACGCTCGCCGGCTAATCCGTTTATGGATGCAAATGGCGTTTCGAGCGGCCGGACACGAAAATGCTTCTCGTTCCCCTCTCGTGGCCACGCTTTCCACGAAGCCCGACATATTTTCCGCGCCCGAAATCGCGTTATAATTGTTCCGCGAATATTCACCGTGTAAACAGCATTGACAAACTTGTTTCTTCTCCTCCCCCCTCCTCTTCACTTAAAATAACTCGCGGCCGCTCTTTCCGCCTGCTTGAATCTGTGTGCCACCAGCGCGCACATTTCGTTGCGTTTTTCGTTCGATGTTTTTCGACGAGACGAACGAAAGTTTTCGAAACCATTCGTTCGGAAATAATATCACGATGGCGGTCAACGAATCGACGAAACAAGGATTAAATGGCGGGAATAATATAAAACGAGATATTATTTTAGAAACACGTTCGTCTCGGCTATTTCCAAGCTTTCACCCGAAATCATCACGTCAATGAATCCTGATCCCGGTTAGTTAAACGATTCCAAGAACCTTCTCCTCTTTGTCGTTATTCCAGAAACTAACGCTTGTTTAACGATATCTGTTAGTGTTGATCTACTTGCAGCGTAACCGTCTTACCCTACTTTCGCCCGATCGTCGAAGTGAAACGACGTATCGTCGGCCATCAGTCAAGACAAAATGGATTAAGGATTGCGATTCCTTCCGAAACTTTTCAAGTTGGAAGAATAACGAGGAAGGAAGGAACTTAGTCGAAGATTAAACATTTTGGAAACTTTGCATTATTTTCTCCGGATCTTTTACATTTTTCGAAGAAATATCGATTATCCGTTCGTCTTTAAAATTGATGACTAGGCGAAAATTAATTCGACATCTCTGTCTGTGTGTTGTGTATTCAACATTAAATGTTTGCGGTCGACGACTTTTTCGGTTGAAGAAGTAACAACTTGAGACGATTTCACGCACAGAATGATTTTATACTCGACTTAACTTATAAAAATATCATATTTTAATGATTTATACATATCTATATCTTTGAACACGATTTTCTAATATTAATTTCTGTGTTCTTTTTTGTGTGTGTGATAATATATTTATAAAACATTTGCCAAACAATCTCATTTCTCAACGGTTCAAAATTAAATTCATCTTCACTTGAGCTAATTTCATTTCTGAAATCCATTTTCTTATAGGACTTCTAAACTTTACGAAATTATATAATACTTTTGTTACGAATGTCTGAACTAACATTGAGCACAATTGGAATACCTTACCTCCATTTATAAACTACAAGTTTATAATATTTCCCAATAAAATAAGGAATCTATTTACAACGTTCTTATTAACTGCCTTCTTTTCTTGCCTGACTTCACGACTTTGAGAGTCGTCTCTCGAAACCCGATCTAAGCAAAAAATATTCTGCCACGAAGAATAACCGTTGAACAAACGCAAAAACAGTCGTATAGATAAGATCGATATCGCGATAACGTTCGCTTGGTAACGAACAACCGTTCCCAGGACGGTCCAACTAAATCGTCGTATTTGGTCCACGTGACAAACGACTCGCCCCACTCCTGCCTTCCTCTCCCGGGTAAAAGCCAGCAGGCTCGTTAAGAAAACGAACCACTCGATCTTTCCTTCTTCAGTTGTAGTTATGCCTACTGCGTGTTCTGGTCACGATTTTGCGCGATTTTCGTGGGGAAAAAATTCCCACTTGCCGTCGATCGCGCGGATATTTTCGTTTCTAACGGAAAGGAGAAAAGAAACGTGGATAATCGATACGAAAGGGAGAGGTATTAACGAGGATCGATGAGACAACGATAAGAAGAAAAATCCTGGTGTGGAAGAATCGCCAGAATGAAGCGTAGTGCTATCGAGATATGGTTTATAAACCTATATGGTTTATACCTGGCAAGATGATAGATTTGGAAAGAGAAAGAGAGAGAGAAGTTGTTGATATTTTGAGAAGATATTTCGTTGTGGTTTAATACCGTATTTCCGAGAAAAGTCGGACAACAGAAATCGCGAAACCGCGCCGTGAAATAAATGGGAATAATATTTACGTAGGCCGGGATACGTGGACGAAAGACGACTTTGGATTTTAACCGATAGTCGAGGTAAATATATATATATACGTATGTATAACGGGCAAACACCATCAGTGCCGGCTTTCTCCTCCTCGAGTCACCAACATTTCAAAGTATCTCTTCTCCACGTGAAATTTTCGTCGGCATTTTCGAGGCAAATTACGGGCGCGCGAAGGGGGAACAAATACGAGTTAAAGCGTATTCGATTAAGCCTCATCGTTCATCGATCGATTCTCTTCGCAAGAGTAAACGAATTGTTAACGAGCGTGAATCTGTAATAATATAGGACGAATATTCGGCAAATTTCTCGATCATCGTCTCGTCACGAGTATAACGGACCGGAGACACGACGCCTTTCGATGTCGTCGATCTTTCGAACGAGATTCTCCGATACCCGATCGCTTCGAAGCAACGAAAGGGATCGAATAACCAGAAATTCGAACCGTCTGCGGAATAATACTGGAAGCAATTCGACGAGGAGAACTCTCGTTAAAGTCGCGTACGCGGTTCTTACGCGAATTGCGCGCAAAGGTTCGACGAGGTTCTTCTCGGGAATGGAACAGGATGGAAGAGAAGAGAAGGGTCGTTCTTCTTCATTTGCCGAAGAATTGCCGCCCCGATGCCCTAATTGAACCGCGATAACTTGCGAGACCCGCGAATTCATTAATGGTACGCTCGAATTACGTTTCTAGCTAATTCAAACCTCGAACCTATCGTTAACATCAGCGTTTCTCTTTTTTCTCGTTATCCTTATTGGAAACACACTAGGGTCAAAAAAGGAGAGGGGGAAAAAAAGAAAGAAAAAAAGAAAGAAGAGAGAGAAATCTCGAGCGTAGAAATCAGAGAAACCCTCGATCGAGCCTCTCGTCGTAAATGTGTTCGACAGGAAAATAAAGGAAATACTTACGAGCCAACGAGGGCCGGAAATGGATCGCCCGCTGATAACTGAGAATCGCCTCTTCGTAATTCCTCCTGCCCTGCTGCAATATTCCCCTGTAACATAGCAGCCGGAAACGAACAATTAGCAACGGGGGCAGATCGATATACCTGATGAGAATTTAATTATTTATTTTAACGCGTGTTTCATGCGAAGAGATACGACG